GTACAACAATTACACTTGTGAGGATAAAATTGCAACATATTGTAGGATACTGTACAGAGAGGCCCTGTCAGCATGAAGGAATCTACCCTGTTGGAAATCAAGGTCATATACTAATTCATTCCTTTGATTACTGCTGTACAGCTTCCAGAGCATATTTTTATAAATCAGTATAATATATAGGCTGCTCACAAGAACGTCAACTTGAAGGTTACACATGCTGATGGTCAATAACTGTTTATTTCACTTGCATGCTCCTGGAAAAACAGGCTTTCAAGTTGCTACAAAAAAATTAGTACTTTATTCAAGATTTATTTCTGAAAACCCGCTAATCTCTCAATCTTAATAAGTTAAATTCCACCATATTCTGCTTACTTAGTACATAACGACTTCTTAAAGAACCCATAAATTACACAAAATTCTCCATCACATTTTGCCATCCACTGACATGCTTTGGTCAGTCAGGTTCTAAGCAGTTCATTTACAACATATGCTACTTCAGGGCATTGATGTTTTAGATTGCACACCAGATACTCAACAACGTAATGAAAGCTAAGGATCTCAATATCTTGCTGAAGTACATAGCCTCCTTGTAAAATAAACCCTGATTTATACAACATTGTTTATTATGATCATTTATAGAGAACTATAATTGCCATGTGGATATAATTTCCACTGAAAGGAAATCCATTTTTTTAAGACAGAGTACTCACTGTGAAAAAAAGGAGATAGATAAAAGATAGACTATTCTTATCTTCATGATTTGGAGTTCTTAGAGGAAGAAAATAATAAATTTTAAGTCATTTTGAAAATGTTAAGTCAGTTTTATTTTTATTTTGAACTCTGAGTATGTCTCGTTTGCTGCATTAGATGTTTCATTGAACTCTGGCTTCCAGAATACCCGTTTCATATTCCTAGCATTCATCTCAGATTTTGCCCTTAATAGCTCACACAAAAACATCAAGTTCATATTTGAATGTGCAAACCTTTCTAAGGATTGCTGATTTTTTTTTCCAAGTTTATAAAGCGAAATCTAAATTAAATATCATAAAAATAGAGCTATGTTTTTTGGTGGGGTGGGGAAAGGCTGATTTGGGGGCCTCTTTTAAAAAATGGAAAATATCTCTGGTTCTCCTACTCACCACATTTTATTTCCACTGTTGCACAGGCTAACCTGGCACTCAGCATATTCAGCAGTTATCACAGAACACTTCAGGTCATGTCACAGTAAAATAATAATAAGCATAAATCCCCCTTCTTTACACAGTAGCACTCTGCTTTGCATTGCGCCTCTGGTACTAAGCAAAAGGAAAAGGTAAGCCTCTGGTTTCTTTTATTGTCCTGAGGGATCCTATCCAGGGGATATAATTTGATAAACATAAACCTGACTTCACAGGGAAAAATATGGTTTTCTGAACAATAGCAACCAATATTATGGCTGTATACGCTCTTAGGGCTCTAGGTATCCCAGGCACCCCTATTCAAAGGACAGGGAGGTATAATAAAAGAGTTAGACAATCTTAGCTGAGCTGCTAAGCCAAGCTAACCCGTTCAGCCTCTCTGTTCGTTGTTTTGCTATGTTACTTGAACACACAGGGAGAAGTGAGATACTTATTCCCAGGGTAGCTCTGCAGTCAGTCCTTCAAGAGGGAGAGGAAACGTGGTTCTCCTGTCTTCTGGATATGAAGATAAATACCATTCAGAGCACAATCCAAAGGCTTATATTTTAGCCAGATGGAAGAAGAAAAGAAAGAGAGGAAGATATTTGTCTCTAATATCCAACTAAAATGATTTATAGCTCTGAAGGTCACTATGTTACAGCTACTGCAAGTAAAACTTTTTTTTTTCTGACTGAGATGCCTACTTTTTGGTAACTTGTGACCAAAAGTTTCAGAAAAAGGGTAACTTGAGACCAAAAGCATATCACACTTATAACAATAGGCAGCCAGATTGAAGCCAGAAAAGGATACAGAAACCTTGTCTTTATGGAGTCTGCTAAAACCTAGTTTTAAAATTCTAGGGGTGTAGAGGTGTACGTTATGAGCAGGTCTTTGCAAATCGTAAGATTTTAGTGAGTTATAGGATGAGCACAAATTCCTTTAAATATAATGAAAAATTAATAGCAACAGAATGCAATAAAAAAAAAGAAGAAAAAAAAAGGCCCGTCCGTATAGCTTGTATTCTATCACTTTGATAAAAATGTCATGGCTGTATAGATATTTTTTGAGGCTAAACATTGTGCTTCAGTAAAAGTCAGTCAGGTACAGTAAGTGGTCCCTAACAGTTTTCATTTTCCTTCATCTGTGAAAAATAACTGCTAAAATAAAGACTTTGTTAAACATATATAATCACTGTTATCAATTTGATCTCAAGATTTCAAATTGAGATTTTCTGACTAATGTCATATAATGATTATCTATGCTGTCCTCATAGATTTTCTTTCTATTGCTATTAAAGGCACAATAGAGACGGACAGGAAAATAATTTAATGTAATGTACCACAATTACAGGACTAACGTTTATGATAAGAATAGTAACATACAAGATTCAGGTGCATTCAGGTGAGAATCTTCCAGAGGAAGAAAAGATATACTTAAGCGATGTGAGTACCTTATTATTATCTCTGACTGATGAAGTGCATAGTCGCCTATCGCAGGATGTGATAATAGTAATAGAATTACACAACCCCATTATTTTAGTCCAGTCCGTGTATGTCCTTCTATGTATAAACACCACATTTACAGATATAAATACATCTTTCAAAAAAAAAAAAAAAAAAGGATAATTAACTGGAAATACTGGATACAAATCTTGTCACTCTTCAAAATTTCAGGCTTTACATAAGCTTCTTCTGTAACAGTTTGTAGTATGAGTACAACCCTTACAAACAAATCCATCACTGTGTTTTTCTGAGTATTTCTCAGAGGAAAAAAATCTTAGATAACTTTTTAAGTATGCAGCACTAATTATACTATTTTTTTAATTGTGTTTGTTTCCATATACTTGTTTGTATAAAGAAATATGTCCTCTCGTACATTATTTTCCTTACAGATTAAGGAAAAAGTATTTTGAATTCCTCTAACATTTTCCAAAGTCTATGGAATCTAATGCATTCTCAAGAATCATATTCATATTTCATAAGACCAGAAAGAAATAAATAGAAATATGCTCTTAAAGATACAATTCCTCTGACTTGCTTTAAGTGTGCACTGTATGGATATTCCGAATATGTTTTGGCTTCTACTCCAAATGTAGACCTTCTACAGCAAAGAGCAAATTCTGTAGAGTCTCAAGTTTTAACAGTTACTACTGTTGAGAGGCATATTTATTTAATGCCAAATATAACATTCTATCTTTCCTAATCCATGTAAAATCCTCGCAGCTTTTACTTTGCAGTTTCTCATATGAATATCTCTGTATTGTGCCTTCTTTTCCTAAATAACATAATATAAAAAAAAGTATTGGCTCTCTTTCTGCTGTTTTTTGTTTATTTTCAATATAGGTACCTACAACAGGAGTTCATAAATACAAATATTACAAACTTTTCTTTTTCCTTTAAACTGATATATAGCAGCTGAACAATGAAACGTCATCTTAAACTACTTATAATCATCTGTATCCCTCAACAATATTAAGAAATCAGCATAAACTTTTAAAGAAATCCTTTCAATAATAATAATTTTTTACAGCTAGGTCACTATAATCAAGTTCCTGGGCATACAGTTTATCTAACATAGAAACAAGACATTTTATGAAAGATTATACATGTGCCCGTAAAAAGTGTCTTGAATTCTTCATATATACTTTTATTTTCTCTCTTTTTTGTGCATCTGTGTCCCAAAATTGCATGCACACACACACTAAAAGACCTTTTTCCATTTCTGCCTTAAGCTTAAATCTGCCTCTAACTTGGACAACACACTGTTCCACATTGAACGAGTCAAAATCAAGAACAAGGGAAAAAAAACCTCAGTACTTTGACGAGATAGAAAATGGTTTAAACTTTTTAACCACATTTATAAATAAACCCTGCAAAAGAAGCTTCATCTGTTCCAAAGAAAGACATTCTAAGAATATAGACCAGCTTTGCTATCAACGAAGCAAGATTTAAAATCTTTGCACAAGTCATCCTATATCAACACTGAGAAATTACTAAATCTTACCTTGTACATCTAAAATGCTGAAAATATGAGCGTTCTAGCAATATGCATTCTAGCCTACTATTTTGTTATTTAATCTAATGTTGACATGGGATTATTTGCAACGTCAAGAGATGCTACTCTTAGCAGTTTGAATAATAACGCCACTCAACAATATAATCCATGTTTATGGAGTTCCTGATATTTAGAAAGAGAATGTACATCCTTGAATGTACTCCTTGAAACCCCTTGACTCCATTTAACCTGTAATATAAATTCTATTAGTGTGTATAGTCTGCTTTGTCTGTATTACCTCTACACCTTCTGCCCTAAGAACCAATTTCCACATCAAAATAATACAAATAAATAACAGTTCCCCCTTCCTACCATTATGAATCATTTTAAAACTGGTAAGTACTCTTTCTTTATTTGTTTTCTTCTTTATTTGCATGGAATGGAGGAGATTTTAATGGAAGAGAGATATTAGTACTCAAACCTGGCTAAATCATGGAGCCAAGAACAATTATGTTGTGATCACACATTTAACATAAACTAATGTAGCTATAAAAATGCAGTCATTTTTGTTTAAGGAGAAGGCACCTCTCAAAACGAAAAGGAGATGTAGTCTAGCTCAGTTACCATGAAATATTGAACAGAATTCAGTATCAGTAACACAGTCAATCCATCCACCAGTAAGAATGTTCTGTTTTAAAAACAAAACTGGTCCAAGTGCTCTTAAAGGGGGCTGCGATCGATCAGTGGCTATATTAAGCAATTACATATTTCTCTCCGAGTAGCCACTTAATGGAAACACCATCTAAGTACTTCAGTATATATCTGATGATGAACAAAAGAGCCACTTACCTAAAACTCCCAGCCTGTAATTGAGGGTGACAACAATGACATTTCCATAACTTGCCAGAATGCTCCCATCAATCATGTTGCCAGTACCCTCCATGTAAGATCCACCATGGATGTAGACCATAACTGGTTTCTTGCTGTTCTGATCATGAATGTCTGAAAAAATTCAAGTAAGGAAAACATAATAAAGTAATACAAAATAATGAAAAAATCATATTAGCTATATACAAAAATGCTAACAAAAATTCTTAATTATTTTCCATGTTATCCATTTCGTCACCGCCACTTTTAATCAGCTACCTTGCTCAGCTCAGGATCATCTACAAGCCTAATAGGATTATAGGTTGAATGTTTCTATTTGTTATTTCAAATACAAAATGTTCTCAAAAAACTAGAAATGCCTTCAATATTACAAGGAACATAATTTGAAAGTAAACATATAGTCTCAAGAGTAAAATTAGACCACAGAATAATCGTTTTTAAAATATTCATATTTACATACATGCCAATTTACAAATATCTGTACATTTAACAATAAAATTACAATAATGATCTGTACTGTCTTACTCCTCACTGAGATATATTTGTTGAAATTGTATTTTTGATATTCAGTAGCAGATATTATCACAAAACCAAATTGTTCTGTTAAAAATGAACATAGCAAACCACCCCTCCTTTAAAGCAGTCTAGGAGTTAACACAGAGAATTTAACTGAATTCATGGTCCAGACTTTCGAATTTAAATCAAGTGATGTCTTTTTTTTGAATTTTTTCTTATCAAAGTAGTCAGGTGTGAAAGAAGTAACCTTAATTTAGGACTCTGAATTGCATGGTTGGTCTTTTGTACATGCAGAAAAGCTCTTCACTACTTTCAAATAGGGAAACAGCTAGGTGTTAATTTTCAAAAGAGAATTAAATGAAATTGATATTAATATTTTCACACTTCAGAGTGAGTTATAAAGATGCAAAAATTAATGATTTGGGATATAGGGGTATATTTAGCACTGCATTCATATATCTTTTTCAAATTATCAAAAAATTAGGCTCCTGACTCCAGTGAGGGTTCACACTACCTAAACTAGGAACTTACATTTTCTACAGAAAAAAAAAACAGACACCAAGCTACTTTAAAAAGCAGAAGGCAATTTAGGCAGCCTACCTTAAATTTTCTCTCTTCATTACAAATACAATTCTTACAAATAATTCAGTGCATCTGCATGAGAAGAACTTATTTGAATCACATAACGCAACATACTAGGCAAAGCAGAGTGTCTGACTATTTAATCAGGATTCAAAACAAAATGTGAGTTCTCTTCTGAGTAGGGTAGGTATGTATTGAACAGTGGAAAAAAAGGAGGTGGAGGAAGAAAAGGCTGAGCCAAAAATTGAGAAGTAGGAGATTTGGATCTAAAAGCCTTCCAGTACTCTTCCTTCCTCTCAGAAACACTCTAACCTACTAAAAACCTGAACAACAGTGAAGCAAAATCTCTTCTAAAGGAAACATTCATAGAAATGTATAAAAAAATATGTAATATATTGCATACATGGAACTACTTAAAGATAAAGTAAATTATGCATGGCTATAGCTTATGGCTCACTTTTTACTTTCCTCATATTTATGCTGTACTCTACCAAGAATAGTCAATTGGGTGCAAAGGAAAATATGATCAAGCTCCAGATCTACACCTGTCTAGTTCTCACAAGTTTGAGGCTTCACACAGAAGCATTCTTCATTTCACAAAAATACACATATTTTACTTGTACTATATATGCTGTATTTAAGCAGCAGAATAAAAGCTTTTGTGGTAAGAGATATGTAATCGTTTTAACTGTAAGACTAAGGCAGCCATTATATCATAGAAAGAAACAAGATGCATCATACTGGACATATTGTTACACTTGCCATATTCTCAGCAAAGCACACGAAAACGTGTTTGACACCTTCTGTAAAAGCTCAGTTAAGTGCTCAAAAGATGCAAGCTACAATTATTTGTGTTACAGAATTATTTTCCCCTTCTATACCAAAAGTCTCATGGCATGATCTGTTGTATTTAATCCTGTCTTACTACATAGTTCTACCTCAGGGCTCAATTTTTCAGTACTGAAGTCTATGGGAGGTTTCCTTTTTGCCTTCCTGGGAACATGATTAGCTTCAATATAAAAGAAATGAGCTCCACTCTTTGTGTGATTAGATCTCAAATGGATGTCCTTGTTAATCATCAAATCCTAACATGTTATAATTTTGGAAGAAGTCTGAATAATAATATATTCATAATAGTGTACCTATGTTAAGTTTTTAAAGACATTTTGGTTTTGCTTGTTACTTATCTTTTGCTTAAAAATTAATTATAGGAGTTGGTACAGCACATGATGATACCATAATTTTTTTTAAAAGGTGTTTCACAGAAAAAAAAATGTGACATTCAGGTAATAGCAGGGTCACTTTGGAATACTTTGCACAGTGTTTTCTGTGTTGTAAGAAATCGTGTACTTTAGTAATGAAGGTGGTACAGTAGAGAGCAACCAATGTGAATAAAAGACCAGAAATTTTTATTTCTGTATTTTATATAGACAGAGTAGCTCCAATAGAGCTGAACTCTCAGGAAAAGAGGAGAGAATAAAGGGTGACCTTGCTGCAATATACATGATTCTAAGGGGAACAGAGAGGATAAATGTTTTAAAGTTATTTGAACTGATGTCAGATAGAAGAAAACAGGACAAATAGAAGAAAACAGGACAAAGGCATGGAATAACACTTGGGATTGGTCAAGCATGAGAGGAATAAGGGATACATTATTCCAAAAACAGAACAATAAACAGCCCAAAGCTGTTAGCTACTCAATTAATTTGAAAATATTTTTCTGAATTTGATAAGGATATATCTAAAGTAAAATAAACTGTCAGTGTAACTTTAATGAAAAGGAAGGGTGAGAAGAGAGGAAGATTTCATGACTTCTTTCCATTTCAGCGCATCCTAAACAGCTTGCTGTGCCAAGGCAAGAAAAAAGTATTTCCTGGTAAAACTTTTTCTGGGTACTTCACTGTGAACTTTATCATTTCCTTTCAGGGAATCCAATCCAACTCTGAAAGAAGTCAATGAAAAAGATTGTCATCGATTTCAGTGGGAAGCTCGTCAAAGCCAGAATGAATGTATCTCAGAGGATAGCTGATTACAGGAAAAAAACAGTAAAGCAACATCAACAGCTGTCTTTACTTTTGTGTCCTCGAAATAAACCACATCCTGTGAGAAAAAAATTACATAAAAATACCACAGACGAAGCACAATGCAACTGCATCCAACATACAGTATGTGCACAGGGGAAAGAG